AACGTCTACAATGCAGAATACTATGAAAAAATGGTTTGCAGGCATGAACCAAAAATACAAGATCACGTAAGAACGCGACGTTGTATTTGTAACTGGTTTTGAGAAAAAAGTTTGGGAAAGGGGTTCGTCAGCTGAGCGTTTGTTTACATCACAAGCACCACTATTTTACACTTTTACTCAAGTAAAGAAAAGTTAATTCAACATGACAACACATTTTAAAGCATTTTATTGCATCATTTTACCTAAATTGTGCGTTTAAAGTGGCTGACAATAATTTTGGCTAATTTTGGTTTTCGTTGTTTTCTTTGCTTTGTTTACTTTTCGCTCGTTTTCCAGTGAAACGAGATGGCGTAGAACCCGCTAAAAAAATCGACTTTTTTCACTCTTGTTCTTACGTGATCTTGTGTCTTTCGTTCATGGTTTGCAGGGTATGTGAAGAATATCTTTCAGAATTTTCCGAGAATTTTCTTTATATTTCGTACAGAAATTTCTTTACGAGTTCGTGTCAACCACTTCATATAATTTTCTTTGAAAATTCGGAAAAAAATCGTTACAGAAATTAGATACTTCTAACGATTTCCTTAAGATTTCGGGAACTTTGGTTTGCAGGGTACCTACTTTTTTCTTTTTGTTAAACATGGTAATCAGCCCTATTCTGCATTTCGACTCGAATCGAAATGTTCTCCGTTTGAGAACTTTGGTATTCTGCGTTCCGTTTCCTTTCGATCAATCTTCAAAATTTACGATTATACCTATTCTACATTTCGATCGTAGTTCCGTTTTTCTAAGTTGCAAATTTGTTGACGGAGAACGTTTCAATTGTTATTTTCGTGGGTTTAAATAATAAAATTTTATAAACAATTTAAGTGAAATATACTGTGCATGATTGTAAGTCATCATAAATGAATTTTCTCGATTTCAGTGTTTCCACGAGCGGTAATTGCACTCGTTTTTACTAACTTTTTAAAAAGAGGTGCGTATGTTGTCTCGAACTCGATTTGCTATGGAAAGATAAGCTTTGTTCTTCCCCTCCTCCTGACGGCTTTCATAATGGGATTCATTTGCGTACAAATCTTCCACTCTGTAGTAAATGCAAATGTGGTGGACTGCTCAAACAACGTTTATAATTTCACTGACTTTAAGCGATGAGTAATACAGTTCAAGCTGAATTCCTTATGACTTCACTCATCTGAAAAAAATCAAACATGTCCCTAAATCTCCGCCTTTCAACTTCCGCATCAGCAATCTGGGACTCGTTCTTCTCTTCAAGCAATAACGCCGCGGCTATGGATTTCATTCTTATAATTATGTATCCACTTAAATTTTATTTTTAAATTACAGTGATGCTAGGTATATTTAGTTATTTTAAAATATTTACAAACTTTAACTTCATATGCTGCTATAGTTTGGTGGCAAATATTTCTTTGTTTTGTTCCGATTTCACACATTCCTAGGCAAACAGCTAATTTCGAAAGATGTTTTCTGTCTTCCTCTTCTTCTTTCGTTTCGATCGTAACGCAGAATACCTAAGTTCGATTCCAGCGGAGCGGAATTCGGGAACGTAATCGAAATGCAGAATAGGGCTGAATATCTACCATGTTTGTTTACCATGTGACAATTGGGGTGTTCACAGTTCGTTCCAAATTGTGTCTGAAAATGTAGACGTCTACATTTTGAGACATCTTTAGCATCAAACTGTGAGCACCCCTTTCTAGCAGTCGTCGCAAAATCGTCTCAAAACTTTGCTGGTGTTGCCAGACATTTCCCCTTTGCGTGCATTTTTTATATATCGCCTTTCGATTTTCTTTCTGAAAAATTGTAATTATTTAACTTAATTACCAATTCCTAATATTTGTTATTTCTTTTCCTTGATTTGTTTCTTTTCATCAGAAATTGCGCTCAAATTAAATGCAAATACAAAAAACGTGCCCAATAAATAAAAAAAATGTGATTAGTATTGCCATAATGCAACCCTGCTGCGAGGTTGCAAAATGTAGACGCGTAAAAAACATACCTTTGAGTGTGACAAAATGTAGACGGCGTCGTTTTCCAATTTTGTATGGGAAACAACAACACCACAGATTTTACGGTTAGAAAACGTCTTAAAATGTAGACGTCTACATTTTCAGACACTATTTGGAACGAACTGTGAACACCCCAATTATCAAATGTAAAGGCAACCCATCTCCTTTGACAGACACTTGATCCTTAACCTTGCGCGTTGGTGCACTTGACACTTAAACTTGCGCGCTATTTTTTATACCGTGCGCACTTGTGCACAAGGGTATTAGAACTTTGTTCACATAACGGTTGTTTGTAACAGGTAAAACGAATCGAGATATGTATATATAGACAAATGTATACAGAAGAAATCGATTAAGCGGTGACTGTCTGTCCGTCCACCGGTCCGTCTGCACACGATAACGTGCACTTCTTTCGGGCGTGGGACGAATGGTATTGAAAATGGGAAAAATCGGACAATAACCACGCCTACCTCCCATATAACGGTAATTTGGAGAAATACGAAATCTTCGATAAATCAGTAAATATTAAAGCTAATTTATTCAAAATTGATGCTTGCAACAATTCTTTGCCAAGAAATACGATCTTGTGATCACATATATGTATCTCGGTAACCGTTCTACCAATTTGTCTCGGTATGGCTATTGTGCTTGCCAAATAAAAGCAAAACGTCGAAAATTATTGCGGCCCCTATTAAGAGTGGCGACTGGCAGTAGAATAGAAATTTGTCAATCGTGTCGATCATCTTTTATTTTGCTATTGTGTAACTTGATCGATAAAAATTTGTACTATTGTGAATGGTTGACAGAATTGTAAACAGCTGTTTGTTTGTTTACATTTGTTTGTTTAGTGTTTTATTTACATAATTTTTAAAATAATTGCTTTTATTATAAAATTAAAAAAAAAGGACACAGTTGAAATATGGTTTAGTGATGAGGAAGATGATGTGGAAGCTAATAGATTAGTAGAGTTGGCTAAAGCAAGGAGGGAATTGCGAGATTCGTCGGATCCCTTGGAATTGGAAGCTGAAGTGTATGTACATATGTGAGTTTTATGAATAAAAGATGCATTCCCGGTTTTTAGGCTTTACATTATTTGCAGAAAAAGCTGTTTTCCTCATTAATAAACTTTATGGAAGTTTAAGAAATACGGTACAGTTTAGATAATTGTACAATGATGTTGGGTATTTGTGTCCAAACGCGTGAACCGAGTTTAAAAATTTTAACATACAAGTGTAGTGAAAGAATTCAACTTTAATTTAAAATAAAGATTTCAAATTTCCGAGCACTAGGCAATTAATAAAGTATGCAGTTTTTTGTAAACTTTTGATGTTGGTTCTGCGCAAAAAGACTGTGGATGGCGTAGCCGGAGTTAATTGCACAAGAAATATTGTATATGTATCTTTCCCAATAGAAGCAGAGCTTCCTCCCCTACTCTTTTCGGAAATTCCTTTGCGTATGTCCTCACTCTACTGCATCAGCAGGACCAACCGCGCAAGTTGCCTTTTGTTGATTATAATTTTTGATCTGTAATTCAGACACATACATACATATGTATATTTCACAATTTTTTACAACTTCCAGTTCAATTGACTAATAGGGAATTTACATGAGGCGATTTTTAGTTGAAAGCAACAATCGCCTGGTGTAAACAGCCTTTCAACTAATCGCTTACAATGAAGTTGGTCGGCTCCCTACTTTCGTTCAACTTTTGGTTTAACTAATCGCCTCTGAAAGTTGAATCATGTAAATTCCCTATTACTTTTTATCCATTATAGTACCGCTTTCTTATGTAAATTTTATAAAAAGTATTCACAGTCGCTAATTGAGCGACTAACAGGCTACCTAATATTCACGCACGCCGCCAATTTATTGTCAAAAATTTCTCATGCACATGCAACTTGTATGAGATCAACCGAAATTGAACGGCGTGCGTATGAAGCTAACTCAATTTCCAATTTTTGTTCTGCGTGACATTTTGTGATGACGTTTCGCTCAATGAAATCAAATGCAAACGCATGCAAGTCAATTTCGGGTGACGCAAAAAAACAAATTCGACGGCATGCGTACCAAAACGCAAGCCGCGAATATTAGGTTAGCCTGTAAGCGACACTCGCAATAGCATCGATAATCGATAATCGCTTAATAGTCGTTTATGTACTGCCAGTCCCATGAACGAAAGACACATGACGTTATTCCATGAACGAGAGACACAAGATCACGTAAGAACAAGAGAGTGAAAAAGTAGATTTTTTAGCGGGTTCTACGCCATCTTGTTTCACGAAAAGTAAACAAAGCAAAGAAAACAACGAAAACCAAAATTAGCCATAATTATTGTCAGCCACTTTAAACGCACAATTTAGGTAAAATGATGCAACAAAATGCTTTAAAATGTGTTGTCATGTTAAATTAACTTTTCTTTACTTGAATAAAAGTGTAAAATAGTGGTGCTTGTGATGTAAACAAACGCTCAGCTGACGAACCCGCTTTCCCAAACTTTTTTCTCAAAACCAGTTACAAATACAACGTCGCGTTCTTACGTGATCTTGTATTTTTGGTTCATGGACGTTATTCGCCCGAAAAGATCTGTCAAAATTGTTTTGTTTACTTTAGCTCTGATCCAATACTTTTCGTGAAAAATCCTGTAAAACTGTCAAACAGCAAAATTACTCTCTGAAGTGAAAGTAAAAAGTGAGTAACAACAAAAAGTACGGGAACAAAAAAACCTTTTTTCCTGTAAAAACGTCAACCAGTGATTGCTTGACACTTTTCATGATTTTACCAGAAGAAAAAGTTCGGCGACTTCATTCTCTACACAACTCTCCAAAAGTCGCTCTCATTTACAGGATTTTGGAGTACGGGAACA